ATCTCTGTCCCTCTTTAATACACACACATACACGCGCGCGCGCGCACGCACGCACGCACGCACGCACGCACACGCACAAGCAGACATACACGCATACGTGCTCTGGTGTTCTCGCAGAAGCTCGTCTGCCCTACATAACTCGCGGTCTACGTCTACACAGGCGTGCGAGTCGCTCGTGCAGTTGTCGGCGCTGCTTTTTTCTCCTCCTTCTCCTCCTCCTCCTCTTCGTCTCTTTTTTTACATCGCGCCTCCTCGGCGAATCGCGCGCGGCTTTTGTACGCATCGCGCGTCCTCTGCTAGAGAACCGCCGTAACCAGCAGAGCTTTTGCTTCTTGGACGTTGTCTTGGCACGATTAACGCTTTTTCGCCCGACGTAGTCGTTGTCAGCGAGCGTGACTGGGACGCGCGACGCTCCGGGCGATACTCGTAACTGTTTTTTATTCGTTTCGTTCCTCTCTCACTCTCTCTCTCTCTCTCTTTCTCTCTCTCTCTCTGTCTCTCTCTCTCTGTCTCTCTCTCTCTCTGTCTCTCTCACTCTCTCTCTCTCTCTCTCTCTTTCTCTTTCTCTTCTCTCGCTCTCTCTTCTCTTCTCTCTCGTCCCCTCTACCCCTTCCCGGTCCCCCTTCCTAGCCAGTGAAGTGGCGTTGACAGTGCCGAGGTGCATTCAGTGCTTTGGATGTCGAGGTTGTGCAGAAATTTAAGTTACCAAGCATGTTGAGCCGTTCTTGCAGTGCTCGAGCACCGTCGGATTTTACTGGGTATATTTATTATACATTACAAATTTTCTCATCTAACCACTCCAATACGCGCACTTAACTATAATATGGTTTTCCTTTTTTATCAAATGATCATCGTTCGCAAATTTTTTTGGAGGTTAAGGTTTTGCTGTCGCGTCATCGCCGTACCGCTTTCCTATTGTGGCGTCACAATCATACAATTCTCAAATTTCTCTGACCCCTTGGCATTATTGACATAATTTTAAAAAATTTTAACATTCTGTAATCCATTAGACTTCCCTCTAGATACGAGAAATATTACTTCCATTACATTCTAGTATAATTAACGACAATTTAAGGCACGATAATGTGTACATTTTTTCGCATCATCTCGAGTTTACTGACTCCACCACGCCGTATAATTACAAAGATATTTCTACTTGTTTAGATTCCTGCCTAGATTAGACTGACACTCAAGACACAATGTTTCACTGTTCCGTCGCATCGTTACTTAAAATTCAAGCCTGTAATTTGTTGCTCGAAAGTAGTCGGAATACAGTTACGTTCGGCTCTGTGTCCGTTTTGCGTTTTATTCATAACAAAATGAAAGCACATGTTACCTTGAAAGTAACAGCGATTTTTTAACGCGGTCCTCCTCAACCTTTCCCAAAGCTTTGCTAGGAAAAGAGTATTTTCTCAAGTTTCTTCTATCTACTATTCCACCGCCTTCTCCACTGTCTCCTCTACCTCCTCCTCCTGCTCCTCGTCCTCTTCCTACTCCTCGCTAAATTAAAGTTTTTGCCGCCTCCGTAGAGTTACACACTCGAGGCCCGGGGCTCTTCCATAAAACGCAGCTCTCGTTTTATATCTGGCGTGGTAAAAACAGAGACTCCACTGTGCGGGACCGTGAACCCAGCGGCCGCACATATGTGTATACGTGCCTCTAATATACTTAAATGAATGCGCGCGTGTTCCGACGGCTCTTTTTCATCGTCGGGCTCTTCACGTATAAACTCGAAAGCTATGCGGATTAACTCGCGCCCGCGACTTTTCAGATGCACTCGCATATAAGCCGGAGTGAAAGCTTTCTCACTCGCTGGCGTAGTTAGTCTGATTTACTTTCACATAGTAGACGCCTGGAATTCAATGAAAAGCATTACGAGAGGCAAAAACGTGTTTATTCAATGGGGGATTCATGTTTGCAAGCATACACTATTCTTGCTCGATGCAAGAGATGCTTGCCAGCATCGTAAATCCATCATTGGATTTACTCTTTGAATAACGACGTTTGATCTGAAATGAGGAAATTAAATGCAAGATGCTTGTATATATATATATATATATATATATTATAATTGAATTAGATGATATAAGAGAAAAAAGAAGAAGAAAAAAACAACTTAATACATTACTCGTGTATACATTAATCGAGAGAATATGAGGTTTTCGTGTTATGGGATATCGGTCAAGCGATTCGCCAAATACAACTGTTACAACATCTCACGGCAACTTTGATTTTTCTTCCTTTTAATTAAAGCAATTCTAAAGTCTTAGAAAAATGAGGAATATCGTATAACACATAGACTATGTTTTATCGTTGTTTAAACAAGAACAATACATTCTGTGACTCGGCCATTATACGCCATCCTGGAAAAAGTATTTTCTTCTGTATATTTAAGTACTTTTTACTCCATTTTAATTGCTCATCCGTGATATTTACCATAAATATAACTTAATAACTTTAGCTTAACTTTTGAATATTATTGAATATTACTTTGTCAACTTTATTTTTCCAATTTCATTTGCAAGACACGTATGTACGATACACGTCCAAATGGATTTCTACATTCATGTAATAATTTTTCGTACATTAAATGTACCGTCTCGAATACATAATGTAAATTGATAATTATTCAATTTGATGATTAACGTGTCCTACCAGACATTTCATCTACGAAGATTTTAATAAGAAATATTTTTTTAATATATCGCATGGCTCCTCGAAAAATTTCATTTAACACTTTTCATCATTCACCATACCTCTATTTTTCGCAAATTAATATATACATAAAAATATAAATTCATACATTGTCTACTAAATTTATGCTTCGTAAAAGATAAAATTGTAAAATACATAAATCGTATTTATTAAAGAAAATTATAAGGCTATACATAAAATCACTTAATTTTGCATTAAATTTTTTCAAAATTATTACGACCAGAAGATGAAATATTTTTTATAACACGTGGGAGTTAAGGCAAATTGTTAGTTCTATGCCCTCTAATAGACAATTACTAAAATCAAGTCTTCGCTTTATCATAGACAATAAATTGCACATACTTATACAATAGTTAATAAAATATTAATAATCAAAAAATGAGAAAAAATATGGATTTCTACCTATAACTAACTACTTTTCATAAGCATTAACATAAATCAAAATTAAATATTAAATTACGATTCCCAGACTAATTTAACCTCAGAATTTGGTAATTATATATGCCTAAATGCGTATTACATTATATAAGTCGCGCAACTCGGCAGATATAATAGACGTGATTGAGCAGCCAAGATTGTAGCGCCTTATCTACGTAGTACCTTTAAATCTCTCTCGTGTCTTAGATAGACGAGCATAAAGCACCAAAAAGTAACACCAGTGCTTAGCTTTTTCAGATAAAGTGATTAGTTATATAAGATATTGCTCACTGACATTTTCTTTTCAAATTCATAAAGGCTGAAAATTGTAGGTGATATAATCGACCTTCGTATTAAGTAAAATTCCCAATAATTGATAAAGATAATAATTATCATTAGAATGCTTGTCTTGATTATTATATTTTAATGATCAAACATGAGAAACCGTTGTATTTTATTCAGAAAGTAATTGAAGTATCATAAAGTTCCTGTAACTTTCATGTTAAAGAGCGCAAAGTTTGCACATTATTTTACGACGAAAATTCCCGAGTTCCTTTCTTTTGATATATTGATTAGCTTAGGGCACGCATCTATATAGCAAGGAGTTGAGATTTTCTGAAGACGATGATACTCCAATAAGGATAAACTATAAATTTTATTTGAAATGCTTAATCGAAATAATAGTTAGATTTATTTAATACCTAATCGTAGTCTCAGTCACAGTAATAATCAAGGAGCTAACAAACATTCATTATCGATATCACGTCTATACAATTTTCTAATTATTTTTAACTCTAGCACGTAAAAGTTTGCTAGAACGATGGAACAATAGTAAATTAATTTAAATAGTAAATACCAGCTATGCTCAATGCATTTACAGTATCGAAATGAATTTAAAATTCATGAATCCCAGTCTAGAATGCGAAAAATCAGAAGAAGAAAAAAACGAAAACATTCGCGTCATACACATAGCCCATTCTTCTACGGATAATAATTACGACGACGACAACGACGACGACAACGACGACGACGACGACGACAACGACGATGGTGACGACGACGACGACGACAACGACGATGGTGACGACGACGACGATGGTGACGACGACGACGACGACGACGACGACGACGACGACGACGGAGACGGCATTCGTGAAAGAATGCTCAACAGGTGTGCCACTGTCACTGTCTCCATTGTAAATTTGCATTAGCGTACAGGCTCGTTAGCCTTGAATAGCGCAAGTCGTTTCCATTCATCACCCATTGCTATCAATGCGACATGGATTATGCGCAAAAGAAGAGGAAAAAGTAATAATTTCATAAGATTTAAAAAAGGATCATCAATATTTTATAACGCGTTTTCCAATTCATACGATGAGGAGTCGATAACTTATCTCTATGTAGGCTATATAGATGAGGGAATAATATCCGTGAATAGAGAAAAACTGTTGGAGCCAAATTTTTCTTCGCGAGAGTTGATAGAGTAGCTCTTTAGAATCACATATTAATAGAAAGAAATCGCAATCATCGAATACTTTTAAATGCTCGGCAAACGGTAGCCGCAAACAGCTTCGAGAGACAAGCGCGTAACATCGAAGCAAGTTCATCACATCATGATTGGTGATATGAAAAATCGTATATCTTCTTCATCCCCCTAAAAGCAATCCCGGTCTACCTCCGCGACACCTCATACTCGTGCCGCTTCGACATCCTGTGCGATTTGTAAAATTGCGTCACGCCCACGCACGACTTCCGTCGCTCGCACAACGCACTTTCCTCGTAAAGAGAAAAAAGCCGACCACAAAACTCCTCGTGTCATAACCCACAGAGGCGTGTGAGAGGACGTTGAACGCGAGCCCCCTGCGCGCGCGCGCGCATGCGCGTATGCTGCCAGCGAGGAACCGTGTCGCGTGGCGAGTCATTAGCCGCCTTCGCCCGGTCGCTGACTAATCGGCGAAAATGGTCTGGCCGCCGTACACGCAAGTCAAATCAGCGGATGGGCAATCGGCCAACGATCGTTGAGAAAATTGATCCTTTACCAACCTGACCGAAACATGGACTACTTCGTCGAGTGAATTCAGCTTTGTTTAATTGAAATACTCGGATGGTTTTGTGAGTCAGGGTAAGTGCGCTTATCGAGAAATTGACAATGGAATTGAAAATAGAACGGACTAAAAGTGTGGGAAATCGGGATTGATCAGTCAATCGCAAATAACTCAAATTTCTATGTGCGGGGATGCGAGGCTTCACATTTCCTCTAATTTCCGGGATATAGGAGTGCCACAACGAGAAGACATCGGGCACCTCCGGATTTTAAGTTGTCTTTAACGCTTGAAAAATTCTGAACAATTAATTTACCTATTTTTTGAAAAGTGGATAATAATTATTTCTTCGATTTAACCTGAATTCTGCGAAAAACGATAAGACGACTGTGTGAGAAAAGCAAAGTATCGCCAAGCATTAAGATATATGGATTGTACATTCAAGTTGGATAAAATTTTCAAATATTTTAGAAACTCATTTTGCAAATGTTTGTGATGTCTATAGACATTCTTACAAGATTACTTAATTCGACGGGTTTTGTTATACTTTATTAAACATTTATCTTTTAATTGTATTACCCTCA